AAAAAAAATCAATGGAATAATTGATTAAACTCACAGTTTGGAAAGGGATGAAGTTTTCTTGTACTCTAGGAACTCCGAATATATCCATGCCACAAAAATGGGAATAATTCCCAGAAAAAACGCAACCTGATACAACAAAGAGACAGATAAGGAAATCCTGGTGCCACCTTGTAACAGATGCACAGCTACATTGCGAATCAACTTGTTAGCTGAAAATGAAGATTGATGATAAGGAAAAAAAAAATGAGAATGCGGAAGAAAAGGTTACCTGTCCAACGCTGATGATGGGGCCATCCGATACCACCATTTCTGGATCCTTAATCAATTAATTTAATTCAAATCAAGAAACAAAGTAAGATCCCGAGGGAGGCCAGCATAATAGGCTTAGCAACAGAGAGAGAGAGAGAGATCGACCTGTATTTTGTAAGCAAAGAGTTTACCTAAAGAAATAGAAAAAATATTGAGAGACAAAGGAGAAGTCCCTCTCACCTCAGACCACCTCACTACCCTGACACCTTTTCACATTCCCATTCCTTCCCAGCGACGGTTGGTGTCCTCATTTTGCTTTCTCGGTCTGTGCGTAGTGCAATGTCTGTGAAGGAATAATTAAATAATTCGCTGTAATCATTGTTTCTGTCATTGATCTTGCACTTTCTTATTATTTTTGTTTTTTTAAGTAATTAGAAATTTGCAAGAGTAAATAATAATATTTTAGTTCGTTTATATGCTTGCTCTAGGAGGGGAAAATATACCAAAACAAAATGTCTGTATAAAGGAATTTTTTGAATTGTTATTAAACTAAAAAATATATTCATTTAAAAAAATTCAATCAATATAATTTTTATTATGAACATGTTTTCTTTTAGCATTTGTCATGCTCTTTTAAAAAAACATTCTTCTTCCCTTTTTTTAAAAAAATTCTTATAAGAAAAAAATTACCAATAAAATTTAAATTTGTTGACACGGTCAAGATATTGATATCTTCTCCCAAATGTAGAAGTATTGAAGTAATGAATAACCCGGTAAAACTAGAATCGAACTACAAGGAGGTTAATTGTATAAATTATAAATAATAACAATACAACAAAAACAATAACAACAACGGCAATAACAACAATACTAATAATAGAAGAAGAAGAAGTTGATGAGAACATTGAGATGGAAGATCAATATGATGATTAAACAATGATAACAACAAATGTCAAGGTTAGAGGATCCACTAATGGTATTTCAAACAATTATAGTATAAAATCCTTTTATTACTCAATTGGAATCCACACATAAAGGAGGTTCCAATCGGATTATAAGTTGTTAACATGATTATATTAGTTATCTTATTCTAATATTACTAATACTTATAAATATTATCGATATTCATGATTATAACTTATGTTAACAACAAATCAAGTTCCTTTAATAGCACAAGTGTTGGTTACATCATACAGTTTGTGCTATAAAAGTGTCAAACATTTATTGTATCAAGTGTTATACAACATAAATATAGATTAATCATTTAACAAATAAAGTATTAGGAGTGAACAAGATAACAAATACAACATATTTTAGTATCAAACATTAATGTCCATGTTGAGTTTACATTATATTTATTCTTACATTATTAGTATAACCTGTTTACCTTGACATCATAAACTTAATTAAATATAATGAAGACGAGAAACATAAATAAACAACATAAAAACATAAGTATAGTAAAGGAAATGAAAAGTATAAATAAAAGATTAAGAAAAATATAACATTAAATAAAACAATGAAAGTAAAACTTAAACATTACAAAAATATAAAAAGAAAAAGTAAGAGCATAATCTTGTTCTGGAAACCAAGATGCCTAAGTGCATAGAAATGCCTCCTTTTATAGGCCGGAATTAGGAACTAATGATTTGATGAGTAATTGTTGAGTGAGTGACCAAATATTGATTTGGTGATAATCCTTATCTTTTTGTCTGTTAAAAATGCCATTGATAACGTTAAAATTTGAACCAACCTTACACATGAAAGTTCTAGGAAATTATCTCAGCTTTCTAGAAAAAAAAATTAAGGTTATTTGGACTTCTAGAACTCGAGATATGGGTTGAAAACTGAACAATATTTATGTTGTAGGACAAATTCGGACTTCTATGTTGTTCCTAAGATTTAGACTTCTAAATAGCAGAATCGAGTCTTAATTTCCTCATTAAAGTTTTAAGCATATGTCTTAGCTTTCCATCCATATAAAAGCATACCTAAATCTGAGATCTACAGCTTCAAATATAACCCTATTACTGAACAATATTTCAGTTTTGACTGCACCAGCATCTTTTTTCTAAGCTTCACTATCTCTTTGTCCTTTCAATTTCAGTATTTTAACTCATCAATCAGTCAATCATTTTATTTATATGATAGGCTTGCATTTAGGATGAACATTTACCATAAATTAAAGGTATCTTATGGTATCTAATTAATACTTAAAAGTACATTTTTATCAAGGTTTTATATTATCATTTTGCACTTGAAGTATCAATAACTCTTTAACTAAAGTATGTTTTATAATAATATATCTAATAATTTAATGTACCTTTAATTTATGGTAAATATTCATATAAAATGCAGGCCTATCACATAAATAAAAGGATTGATTGATGAGTTTAAGTACTGAAATTGAAAGGACAAAGAGATGATGAAACTTAGAAAAGAGATGCTGGTGCAGTTCAAACTGGAACACTATTCGGTAATTGAGTCATATCTAGAGCTACAGATCTCAGATTTAGATCCATTATATATGGATGGAAAGATAAGATATAGGCCTACAACTTTTATGAGGAGTCCAATATTTAAAAAGGCATTTTCAAGTCTAAATTATAGCAACAACAAAGAAGTCTGAATCTGTCTTACAATCCGAATATTGTTCAGTGTTTGGCCCATATTTGGTGTTTTAGAAGTCTAAATGACTAAAAAAGTTTCCTGAAAAACTGAGACAATTTCCTAGAACTTTCATGGTACAAGTGGTTCTAATTCTGACGTTATTAATGATATTTTATTCAGACAAGAAGATAAGGATTGTCACCAAGTCAAGATGTGGCCACCCACTCATCAATTATTTATCAAATCAATAGTTTCAAATTTTGACCTATAAAAGAAGATATTTACCATGTATTTAGGCGTTTGGTTTCAAGATCATACTTCTGCTTTCTCTCTTTGTATTACTTAAGTTTTGCTTTCATTAATATCTTGTTTATGCCT